CATAAGCCTTGAGCATCCACTATCAAAATATTATTTTTGCTCCTAACTTTTAATTTTAGAGATGTCTATAAGAAGAGTAGGTTTGTTCTATGTACCCATTTAGATTTGAGTCCTCATGGTTTGATCTATCATTCTTAGCTTTTGGCATTAAGTCATTCATGGTTCTTTTAGGAACCCAAACCAACTTATGAGCCATACTTTTTGAATGGATATTTATATGCAAAATGACCATGTTTATCATAAAAATTACATTTATTTTTAATGAAAACATGTAACGTGGGTCCTTTAATAAAATTGGTTGGTTTTTGTTGAGTGTTACTCACAAAGTCGATTCCTTCTTTTCTATGAACATGACTCTTATTGGCAAGAATCATATTTAAAGATTTGTTACTAATTTTAAATGTATCTAACATTTGTTGTAGAAATAAATTTTCCTTTTTAAGTGAGTCTAACTCTTCACACTTAGTGCAAGGAGTTAACATATAATTATCATGCTTATTTTTTAATTTTTTAAATTTACTAGCAAGAGAAGCATGATCCTTTTTTAACAACTTATATTTTTTACCCACTAGCTTACATTCATCAAATAAATCATGGAAAGCATCAAACAATTCATTGTAAGATAAATGAGATTCGATTGAGCCATTTAGCTCATCGTCGAAAGCCATTAAGACGTAGTTCGTCATCTCGTCTTTGTTGGTTAGCTTCTCATCTTCGGATGTACTTGATTCATCGTAAGTCACCTTGAGTGCTTTCCTTTTCTTTAGTAGCTTCTTTTTTTTAAGTTCGTATTTGTTCTTAGTTTCATGTTTTATGAATTTTTAAAATTTATTTGTGATGAGTTTTATGTTATCATCACTTGAGCTTTCGCTCGAGTAATCTTCTTTTGTTCTAAGTGTCAAATCCTTTCTGTTCTTTGGAAGGGTGTTCTTAAGTTTATCATGTACTATATGTCATTTCATAGGTTATCAAAGACCCAATAAGTTCTTCAAATGGAAAGTTATTTAGGTCCTTTGCCTCTTATATTGCAGTTACTTTCAAATCTCAATTTTTAAAAAATGATCATAAAACTTTATTAATAAGTTCAAGATTTGAAAAACATTTACCAAGAGCTTTTAAACCATTGACGACATCTGTAAAATAAGTGTATATGTCAACAATAGTTTCGCTTGGCTTTATTCGAAATAGTTCAAAATCATGCATTAAAAGATTTATTTTAGACTCTTTAACTCTACTCATACCTTCATAAATTACTTATAATATGTGCCAAATCTCATGTGTAGTTTCGCATAAAGAAATATGATTAAATTCATTTTTATTCAAAGCACAAAATAAAGCGTTCATAGCTCTAGCATTCAAAAAACAAATATTTTTCTTCGAATCATTCCACTTATTCATTGGATTATAAGACTTTTAAAAATTATTATCAATGATATTCCATAAATCAAAATTCATAGAAAGTAAGAAAACTCTCATTCGAGTTTTTCAATATGTGTAGTCCGTCCCATTGAACATAAGAGGACGAACGATGGAAAGACCCTCTTGATTACCGACAAAAGCTATTTCTCTTAGGTATTAAACCAAATAAGAATAACGTGACTCTCATACTAATTGTTAAGACCAAAATTGGCACTAAAAGGAGGGGTATATTAGTGCTATCTTAAAATCACATCGGTTTGAAAATCTTCATTCAATAAAGCTATATCAGAAAGACATTTAAACTTAAAATATTTATAAAAGTAGTAATAAGCAGGTAAAGCAATTAAAAAATAAGTAAACAATCAGAGAAAGGGAGGCACACTAATTTTACAGTGGTTTGGTCATCGTGACCTATATCCACTCCCGATTCCTCTTTACTCGAGGCCACCAGCTTTTACTGATTTTTTTTCAACGGGGGAAGATCAACTACTCTTACAACTCTTTCTCCTTTTCATAGGTTTATGAGAGAACCTTTACACTCATCTATTACAAGAAGTCCCTCACACTCTCCCTTAGAATAGCCTCTAAGCATATGGAGGAGGGAACTCAACTTTCTAATGGTGTTTGCAACCTTAGAATCACATAGTTTTGGTTCTACTTTCGTGCTATATCAAGCAAGAAAGATTGAGATATTTATATGCCCCAAATGGATTCAAATTTAGAGCCAAAATTATCTCATCCCGAGTTTTTGGGTATTGGCGATGCCAGCGCTAGTACTGGGTTATACCACTGCCAGTACTAGGTGGTACCATCGCCTGACAGACTAACAACTAGAGGTACCATCGCCTGTCAGTCTGATACTGGGCGATACGATCGTCCATTCTAGTGGTATCATCGCTTGACATAGTCTTAAAGATTGTGTATAGGTAATACCATCGTTGGTCCAGGCGATACCATCGTCCAGATAACCTAGGAGGCTGAGTCCCAGGCGGTGCCACCGCCAGCCCTATTAAGGGTTGCT